GTTGGGGAGGGAAGTCAGCCAACCTGAATGAGAATCCCCCATGTTACAGAGGACTAGAAAAGTACTTTGGTTTTATTGCTTCTAAACACAAGTATCATAACCTCCTTTGCTTAAAAGAGTTCAGCCACTCACTCTGTATGGCAAAATCTAGCTGCCTGATCTTGGCTGCAGTATGCTCCATGCTAAGTCCCCATTCTTTCTTTCCAGATTTATCCTCTACCAGCCCCTTCATTTATTTCATGCATTGAAAAAACTGAATGTCTCAGTATTCCCTGTGCACCCCCATGTCATGCTTTCCACCTCTTCTGAGCTAATCTCCAGCCCTCCCGTCCCCACACGCCTCATCATAGATGTTCCCCAAGCTGCTTCTAAGTGCCTCCCTCTTGATCTCCCTGGTTAGATGCAGCCTCCACTTCCTGTGAAATCTCCACACAGTTTGTCTACATATAGCCACTTTTTGACTTTATCTTGCAGGTACTTGCTTAGATGTGTTGTCTATCTTTACATTCTGTTGCAGTACCTAATACAGGGCTTTGCGCGTAATAGGTATTGAATAAATATTTACCTAATGACTGACTAAATCAAATAATACACTCACTTGCATGAGGAGAACAAAATGTTGCCAAATAGAAGCCCATAGGTGACATATTTTAATAAGGATCATTTCATCTAGAATGCAGTGCCAGGCCCTTTGGGTGATCCTAAATGAAAAGACATAGTCACTGCCTTAAAGGTTTGAGATTAATTTGTTAGTATTTGTATATAATTGGGGATTAAAGGTGCCTGAGATACTCCAGTCTTCTAAGTAGGTTACGTATGACCCGCCACACACCAACTCTCCGTATTGTTATTTCTCCTTAAACCATTTTACGTAAGTATCAAAAAAAAAAAGTAAACTTTGGCTTAATTTCTGTTCATCTGTTATTGATTTCTAATTAGGGTGGCTCAGATTAATTTGTTTTTCTCCATTCTTGATAATTATCAGTCTGCAAGAGAAGCTCTATGTCTGAGTTTGGGGCGTGTTATAGAGAAATTATGAAGACTGTGGTGCATCCTGAACCCCCATCAGGATAGCAGAGCCTCTTTCTGGACCATCCCAGTCATTGCCTGTGTTGTCTCCCCGACTAGGTCCGCCTCTTCACAGGAGAGGCTGTGTCTATTAGAGCCTGGAGGAGGACTGCCTGAAGGACACGTGTCTTGAATTTAGTTTTCTATGAAACATTTAGAAAATCATTAAAATAGGTAACTGAAGAATTAAATATTAATTAATTGTCAAAATTTGGTTAAATGGTCCTATGTACTACTCATTCACCAAGTATATTTTGAATGCCATCCAGCCTTCTGCTGCTATGTGGTGGCTCCCTCTGTCACATCCCTCACAGTTTTCCCGAGGAGTGCTGAGTGATTGCTAAGATTTTTGTCAACAGCCTTTGTTGTCTAATCCCAAGCATCTTCCACATGCATGGCTTACTTTCAGAGGGCATGGCTTCTATAACCTTTATTCCCAGAGTTTAGAGCTGAGCCATCCATAAAAATACCCGTAGACTATGTTTTCAAGTCAGCAAGAAGCTATTTGAAGGAATCGTCTTTTGCATAACCCAGCTCTCATATAGTTTCCCCAGTGAGGGTGAGATGTTGGCAAGTTCCTCATTTTTCCTGGCTAGACAGCAGGGAACAGAAATTGAGCAAATGGAAAGGCAGAAACTGTTCTCAAATGCCTTCTTGTTCGTTGTCTTCAGAAGAGGAGAAAGGGCTGAACCCGACCACCCTGTGGTGGGGACCACTGGATTGCCTGGGTAGGCAGTCTGACTTCCTAGGGAAGAAAGTGTGATAGGGGGAACCAGGAAGACTCAGTGAGGCTCTTTGCCATCAGCTCTTCACCCCATCTGTAGAAATGGAGAAGAGGTCCATATTTGCCACGAGTCGTCAACGAAAGCGTAAAAGCTTACTTCATAGTTCCATTAAACTAGTGGGTTTGCCTGGTTAAAAAACTGGGTTTTTTGCTGCTTGTTTTGCTTAAACTAGATACTTAGAGACTTTCAGATCTTCTGCATACATATAATAATGTGATTCTGATAGTGTCTGAACGAAGGGAGAAAGAGGCACTGTTGTTTGGAAGAGGAGAAATTCCAAAGTAGTTTTCAATAAAAGTGTACCAGTTCTTAGAAATTACCTAAGAACCAGCTAAAGGCCATTCTTTGATGGCTGGTTCCTCCATGCTTGGTTCCTCTCTCTGCATCAGCTCTTATCATTCTGCATTCTGAGTTCTCTCTATATATTCACTCATCGCTGAGGACGAGGTCTCCTCAAGAGCAAGGATTATGTCTTGCCTTTGTTATCCCAGCATTAACACAGTGCTTGCTTGTGGTAGGTGTCCAATAACTGTGGAATGCTTAAATGGGTGAATCGCGTTAATGAGTTTATTTCAGAGTTTATTACATTTTAGCCTGAAAAAGAAAGCTCTTTTTGGACATGGGTACTGTGGGCCATTGACTATATGTCACCCCGGCTAGAGGGGAGCTCTTTGGCAGCTCTGTCACTCACTCCTTGTCTTATCCTTCTTTGTACTTCCAGGGCCACGCATGATTCATAGCACATGAGTGCTGGAAAATTTAAAAAACAAAAAGTAGCATGTTGACTCTTCCTTAGAGTTAAACTTCTTGACCTGTAATGAAAGAAGGGCTGGCACTTGCTGTGTTTTGTTTGGTAGAGCCCCTGGCAGGTGGGGTAATTTGATGAAGTTGGGAAGCTTTGACCAACCTCTGCATTTCTGAAGAAGTGGGAGTTCACGTACTCTACCAACTTTCATAGTCTGCTTTGCCTTAAGCTGAATTTTTGTCTAATCAATCCCACTTTATTTATGAGGACATTCCTAAATATGGATGTTATTACTGATGAGGAACAGATAATACATTTAAATAGGTTTAATTTTATGGTGAGAAATAGTCACACAGTGACAATATGAAAAAAATAATGTCAACTCCAACCCAAGATAATCTACTCCAATGCCAGTTTTGGTCATTAGAACAAAAAGTCAGTATAATAGGCTTATTTTTAAACACAGAGAACTCATGGAAGACAGAAGTGGATTAGGTTGAAAGCTCATGTTCGGTCTAATCTAGATGAATATCCAGACGAAAATTGCAAATAGAGGCTTCAGTGGGAAAAATGATCTACTAGTCCCAGTTTGAACTCCTGGAACCACTGAACTACTAATGTGAGAGAAATATAGAAGAGGGAAATCACCAGAAGACTCCACAGAACTGTCATCAGTTCCATTGTTAGGTGGGAGACTGTGAATATAGAGGGGTCACAGAAAACCAGTGAGAAATTACTATTCTACATTTGACTTCTTTTTTAACCAAGGAGAACTCATTAGAAATAGATCACCAGGTAGTTGACAATTACTGAGTGCAGTAAATCTAGGAAAGGAGAGAAAGGATCTTCATTAAGATGAAGAAAAACCCTTTCACTTGATAAACTTTCATTTTTTCAGAGGAAATGAAGAAAGGTAATGAGGGGAGTGGGTCATGAAACATGGGTAGGTGAGAATAAGATAGATAGAAAACATAAATTGAAATTGCCTCATGGTGCTAGTTCAAGTTTTGGATTCTAAAAGCAAATTCTCTGGAAGATAATTTGGAAAACTGGAAAATTCCATCCACTTCACCAGGATATTTTTGTAATTACTTACTTTGAGTAAAATATTTTATAATCACAGAGGAAAGCCCATATAGCAGATGAGATGTGACAGCGTACACATACCCCATGCGCGCGCATGCACACACACACACACACACACGCAGACATACACAGAAACCTGACACATCATGGTCTCTTGATTTCAGATGATAGCATGAGTCATTTGTGTGCTACATCAGACGTATAAATTTGGGGGTAAACTTTAGAGAGAAACCTAAGACCTTAGTGTTTGTGGAGGGGTATTTTTTTCCCTAAATTAGCTTTTAGCTCGATACAGTATAACACATCTAATTATAATCTCACTGCTGTTGGCCGCATCAGAACAAGACAGTCAACATTTAGCACAAACCTAAATATAAAGCTTTTATGTACTCTTAACACCTTAGACTTTCCCAATAGGAAACTGACAATAAAGTAATTAGCAAAGTAGTTCTTGTTAATGCCATAGACAGATAATGAAAGAAATACAGATTTCACTTTTTACATTTCACATGTTTCATTAATCCAGCAGAAGTAATCAGAATATTAAATGTTTCAGGAAGCTTAGTTTTAACAAATAGCTGTATTTATCCCTGTCTGGAGTTGAGATATTTAAAAAAATGCTGGTTTCTACTTGAATACATCACAGCCTTTCTAAAGCCGCATGTAGAAGCTGGATTTTTCATCTTGGGTAATTTGTTTCAATTTGTTGCAAGTGTTTAAATTACTTAGATACAGTGTCAGTCTAAAGTGAAAGGAACTATTCTGTAGGAAAGGGGCTTATGTGTTCTTTAACAAAGTGAAGAGGGAGACTACCTGAGGCCTTTTCTCTGTCTATTAAATCAAAGAACTTAGTCATGTTTATGTGATTAGGTGAGTTAAGTGTAAAGACCTTTGCCCCATGGTGTCATCAGGAAGTTTAAATGTTACAACTGTTTAATTAAGATAAACTTAAGTATTTGTTTTCTGATAGAAAGGAAACAACAGGTATGCATTAAGCAAATCCTTCTCTTGACATTCTGCTGGTGTCTCAGGGAACCCAGATCAAACAGGAAGGTCCTTGCAGAAAAAGTTAATCAGGCTGAAATTTTGTTTGTGATATTGATCCCTTGCATTTCTCATCTTTCTTGGCCATAAAATAATAATAAAATAATAACATTTGTATTAGGGTCCTCCAGAGAAACAGAACCAATAGGGTGTGTGTGTGTGTGAGAGACAGAGAGAGAGAGAGAGAGAGAGATTTATATTAAGGAATTGGCTCTGTGATTGTGGGGGCAGGCAAGTCTAAAGTCTACAGGGTGGGCCAGCAGGCTGGAGACCCAGAGAAGAGTTGATGTTGCAGTCTGTCTGACTCTGAAGGCAATCTGGAGGCAGAATTCCCTCTTTCTCAGGGACCTCAGTCTTTTTTGTTAAGGCCTTCAACTGATTGGATAGGCCCACCACATTGTGGAGGGTAATCTGCTTTACTCAAAGTTTCTTGATTTAAGTGTTCATCTCCTCTAAAAATACCTTCACAGCAACATACACTGGTGTTTGACCAAATGTGTGGGTACCATGGCCTAGCCAGGTTGACATAAAATTAACCATTACAACGTCATCATCATCATCATTATTATTATTTACTGTGTGCCAGATGCTATTTTAAACACTTTACGTGTATTAACTCATTGGATGCTCATCACAAGCACATCAGATACATACTTGTACTATACCCATTTTACAGATGACAGAATTGTGGTCAGTGAGGTCAGATAACATACCTGCAGTTCTTAGCTAGTCTAACTTGGTTGTGCACATATCTATCTTGCCTAAAAATTTTCCTTCAAGACCCAGCTGATATTATTCTCTTTTTGTAGGTGCTCAGGAATTGTTTACTGAATGAATGATAATGGTTACTGTTTGTGGAGCAGTTACTGCATGTTAGCACTGGGTTAAGCACTCCAATCTCTAAATTAATCTAAGGGGGTAGGTATCTGAATTGACGGGGAAGCTGAACAAAGTCGTGGAGCCCTGAGTTATGGAGCCAGGATCCTCGTTCAGATCTTTGCAATTCTAAAACATCTATTAAAATTTACCAGTTATTAAAAGGATAAAGCCGGTACTAAAGCATAGATGATTCTAGAAATACATAAATGACTGCTTTTTTTTTTAACCTTTTCCATATCATACAAGGACCATGTATTCTGGGTATTCTAGGACAGTCTCCCCAATTACCACCACCCTCCCATGAACCCTCATGTTTGTTAGACCACGTGTCACTAGACTTAGGATCCTTAAATAAAACCTATTACTGTTCTCAAATCTTTTCTGTTAAAAGCTCTTCGATTCACTTAAATTATATGGCCCTTCATACATGCAGATGCTTTTTACGCTCCTGTGTATCTTTTTGAATTACTTTTTTCCTTTCTCTCCCAGGCTTTCACACCAGGACATCACTGGTTCTTGTGCCTGTCCGTCATGAAATACATTGTACTTTTCTTCCTCAATATAAATAATCATTTTAGAATGTTATTTTTCGGGACCTGTAAAATAGTCATCGATGTCCTTGGATTATATACCTGGGTGTCTGAGGGCTACACTTAACTGAGGTGTGTTGTGGACAGTGTCTCAGTTAAATCCAGCTGGGGCCAGTGTCTGGACTGAGGGCAGAAGATGCATGTCAGTAACTGTTGAAGGGAGAAACCTTTTCTTTTTTTTTTTTTTTTTTTTAAATTTTTTGTTTATTGCAGTAACATTGGTTTATAACATTGTAAAAATTTCAGGTGTACATCATTGTACCTCTATTTCTGCATAGATTACATCATGTTCACCACCAAAATACTAATTACAACCCATCACCACACACATGTACCCAATTATCCCTTTCACCCTCCTCCCTCCCCCCTTCCCCTCTGGTAACCACCAATCCAATCTCTGTCCCTATGTGTTTGTTTATTGTTGTTATTATCTACTACTTACTGAAGGAAATCATACGGTATTTGACCTTCTCCCTCTGACTTATTTCACTTTGCATCATGCCCTCAATGTCCATCCATGTTGTCACAAATGGCTGGATTTCATCGTTTCTTATGGCTGAGTAGTATTCCATTGTGTATATATACCACAGCTTTTTTATCCATTCGTCCCTTGATGGGCACTTAGGTTGCTTCCAAGTCTTGGCTATTGTGAATAAGGCTGCAATGAACACAGGGGTGCATGTACCTTTGCAAATTGGTGTTTTCGAGAAACCTTTTCTTAATGAAGGTCGTTAGTATGTTAAAGAGTGTTTGCCTTTCTAACAAGTGTATTTACACTTCGTAAATCCAGTAATTTCTCTCCATGAGCCAGCATCTCCAAACAAAATGAATGCACCCCAGTTCCTTTTTATTCCTTTCGTATTGCGTAACTTCTCCTTGGTGTTCTGAAAAATTAGATGAAGTTACAGGCTATAAACTGCATAAGCACAGTGCCCCAAACAGCATTTCCTCCGGTCTGTGTAGAAATGTATGTGGATTTGACACACAAGAATGCCTTTATCCTGTAATCCTCCTGTAACTTCTTGGACATCTCCCTGGAACTCAGCTGGCTTCCTTGTCCCTTCAGTTCCTGGGTGGTCTGATTAGGGTAAAATGCGTCATCAAAGCAGGCCAGGTGCTGACACTCAGCATCTGAAGCTGTCAGGAAATGATCCTCTCGATTTCCTGGGAACTCCTGCCCACACAGCACCACCAGGCCGTGAGGGCTCCCTGTGCCTCAGGTGAGGGATTAGCTGAGCATCGTGTGGCTAGTTCTCACTAATCTTTCCATACCAGCAAACTTAGATCCTCTAATTAATACCCAGCTGACACCCAAATCCATTTCCCCAAAGGCTGTAGTCCCTGAAGGATAGAAAGGAAGAAGCAGAAGTGTTTTGGAAAATATTATCCTCAGTACTTCATTATTTTAAAGAAAGTTGAAGAAAATACCTGCTTCCTTCTCCCCATGATAAACTGCTTATTAAATATTTGTACAGTGAATGAATGAATGAGAATAATGACCACAGCTAAGTAGAATAAGAAGGAGTTCTCCAGAAAGTGACACAGCCGATGTCCAGTATGCAAAGGTTGAGATAACAAATGGGTTCTATTTCATGTTGCAATGGCACTTCGTTGGTGGTGGCTGCTGCCATGAACACCGTGTTGACAGAGATTCTGAGGTGTCTCCCTGGCTTGGGAGGAAAGAGTACCATGCATGCTGGAGGTGGCATTTGCTATCCCTGTGCTAATGCTAAACTTTAGATGACCTCCCTTTTTCAGACATGAAGGTGTCAGGGTGTTAGGAGGTGTGTAAACACCCACCTTTCTTCCCCTCTTGAATTCAGAACTAATTGACAAATAAGACATAAGTGACAGTCAAATGTAGTTCGATATCTCAGCTAATAAAGAGGATTAGATAAGGTGGCCTTTGGTCTGTGTTTCTTCTCCCCAGAATTAAACGTTCTCATCCCAGCAGTCTTGGGTAATGCTGGACAACCACGGCTTCTCCTGAGGAGAAAGTCCTGCCGGGCTGAGCTTCCTATGTGGCAGGAGAGCAGAACAAAATGCACCCTCTTTGTAGAAAGACCTGAAAGGACCAGGCTGAGCCAGGTGCGCTGATCATCTCCCTTAGGCGGTAACAGGATAAGGCCCTCCTGCCAGGGAGGGATCCTGAGGGAGCTGAGTGAGGCTGGAAGTGCTCCTTCCTGGCTGGCCCCTTCTGAGGAATGGTGTGCAAGCTTTTTCTCCTCTGGGCCAAATGAGAAGAGCAGAATACTAACTATTAATACTAATACTAACCAGTTATATGTGAACATCTATTCTAATACAAGTTGTCTAGAAAGTCGGCCTGGATCTACTCTCTTGTTCTCTTCAGGTCCAACACAGCCCTCACCTTTGGGTTAAGCCCCACGGCATCCCCTGGGTGGAGGTTTTGCAGGACATTCCTTCTTTGTCCTTCCTCTGCTCCTCTGCTCCCTGAGAGCTGATTGTCCTTAGCTGCCTGCGAGGCACTTAAGGTCAAATGCAGCACCTTTGAGGCCCTGTTGGTCCCTCTGTTGTTTTAGGGACTTGCCTTTGTAGGTCTTTATATGCTGAGTCACAGAGGAGTCTTCTTGGAAACTTTCTGACGTTCAGCACTTTATGAAAACTTATATGACATATTCATCTTCTAGACCTGAAAATGCCCAGTCCATAGGTCAGTGTCAAATGTCAAATCAAGGGACTGAAAGAGACCACATGCTTGATCTAGACATCACTATCTCCGTCACTGTCCCCTCCAGTGGTGTGGTGGAGACAAGCAACAGGAGTCCAGCCCAAGCCCAGCTTCTGATGGGGAGACTTCAGGCAAGGCTTCTGTTCTTCACTCACCATGTTATGTTGTATATAAGGCCCCTTTCAATTCCCTGTACTGTGATTCTAAACCAGTCTAGAGGAATGGCTGGTTACCCTAGAGATGCTGGTGCTACCTCCCCAATCCTGGAGTCTGTGATGGGTGTTGTGTGGAGGTAGTCACAGGACTCAAGGAAGGTCGTGATGCTCAGCTGGGGTTAGCACTAGAGTTGAAGTCTTTTTCCCTCCCGGGACTATCCTATTCTTAATACCTCCGGCCATCTTTAGTTATCTAAAATATCAGCTCTCAAGTCTCATGTTTAAGAGTCTTTCAAATGCTTAACCTAAAGACCACCACTTCTAGTTTAAGCTCATTGTCTTCTTGATGGGTCCTTAAAGGAACTTTTGCCAAGTCATCCCCAAGCCTTTAATTTTCAGAATATTGCGTTTGTCTGAAAGAGATCTCAGACGAAATACATCACTAGTGGTACAGAGGGCTCAGAATTTCTGTACCACCTTCTTCATTCCATTATGCTCCTTTCTGGAAATATAAATCTATTTTAATTATGAACATATATATTTATTATCTGACAAGCAAATCCAGTTTGCCTTTCTGTGAAATTACTTCACTGCACTGCAACTTCTAGGAACATATTTAACATCAATAAAAAAACCCCACAGTATTGAAACTGTACGTTATGATCAGGAATAGAACAAGAAGATCTATGGAAAAGTTAATTGGAAAACATGATTAACTGAGAAGTCCACAGGGTCACATGGAAACTGTGTACCTTGCTGCCTCTCTGTGAAGCCTTTTAAACTCTTGAAAATGCGTTCTCTGATCTTAAGAGGATGGAACTGATATTGAAGAGCATTTTGCACGTGCCAGACACAAATGAATTCTATACGCAGGCCCTACTCTCCTAGTTCTTACGAGTTAGCTGGGCAGACAGAATTTGTAAGGTGACGCGGTGTTCCGGGTACAGTTCTGTCCTGAGCAAGGAAA